GCTTATTCCAAGGCATGACATTATAGAATTGTTGTTAAGTAACACTGAGTCCGTTCTAACTCATGGTGACCCTGTATATCGTTTCTGAGGCTATAAATCTTCACTGAAAAAGAAAGCCGAATCTTTTCCTATAGCGATGCTAGTGGGCTCAAATCACTGACCTTGTGGTTAGCAGTTCAATATTTACCTAGTGGTTACGAATCGGGCTGAGAACCGCAAGGTCAGCAGTTTGAAACTACCAGCTGTTCCGCGGGAGAAAGATGAGGCATTCTGCTCCCGTAAATATTTACAGCCTTGGAAACCCTGTTCAGGGTCGCTATGGGTCGGAGCCGACTCCACGGCACTTAACAACAACAACAAGCCACTATGCTACCATTATAGACTAGACTTACTGCTATCTTGTGCAATTAATTGTTACCCTTTTGAGTTAGTACATAAGGTCAGACCCTCCTAGAGTGAAAATACTCCTGACCAGTGTTTACAGTCTCTGTGAATAGCACCGCCTGCAGTGTGCAGCACCCAGCTTGTATGGCACTACCAAGAGGCCAGTGCTTGAGGAGACATTTATAAAATAAGGTATACATAAGTTTAGGAATACAAAGACAGATAAACAGACAGATAGACAGATCAGCAGGTGGTAGGTAGATAACTACATTCAGTAATATACACGGTATACAAGGACAAGTCAAAAATTATCCACACGCTGGTTATATTAAAACGCCTGTCCACACCCACAACTAATAACAACATTAAGCGTGCCCATGGAATGATTCTGTCAAACAGAAGAGTAACAGTGGATTATGTGGCAAATTATTTGTAAATCAGCCATGGCTCTGTCTATGAAATAATCCATGACAGACTTGCGTTCTGAAAGTATGTGCGAGATGGGTACGGAAACAACTCACGGACGAGCATAAAACAGAAGTGTTTGGACACGTGCAAAGAAAATCTGGACCAACACTTGAAAGAAGACATAAGTTTCTTAAAAAAATCGTTACTGGTGACGAGACATGGATTTATCACTACAAGCCTGAGAGTAAATGGCAGAGTATAGAATGCATACATCCTCAATTGCTGACCAAGAGAAAATTCAAAAGTCAACCATCAGCTGGAAAATTGAAGCTTTTAGTTTTCTGGAATCTCAAAGGGCCAGTACTAGGACACTACCGAGAAAAAAAATCAACAATTAATAGTGCTCCTTACAATGAGATTCTCACTGAAGAGCTGAAGCCTAAACTACACATTAAATCCAGAGGACTTCTATCCAAGGGTCCTGTGGTCGTACAGGATAATGCCTGTCCACACACCTCTGCCCACACTGCTCACACTCTACAAAAACTTCACTTTAAGGCCTTAAAGATCCCCCTATAGTCCTGATCTTGCTCCATCAGACTTTCACTTGTGTAATTCCCTGAAAGCAGCCATTCAAGGATGAAGAGTCACCTCTAATGAAGAGGTGAAGATAGCTCTCAGCTCAGCCTAAAACATTTTTAATATGGGACAATGAAAGCTTGTTGAAAGACAATGTTTACAGAAAAGGAGATTATGGTGAAAAATGTTGTGTCTTTTCCTAAAAGTTGACTGACATAAATTCTATCAGTGCAGATAATTTTTGACTCTCCGTTAAATACCATAGAATAATTCTTGTGAACAACATATGCAAACTATAATCTTATATAGGCTATTTTCCCATCACTTTAGGACATGTGCGTGGGCTTCAAAAAATTCATGGAAAAATTCAGTTTTGGGAATTTTTAGAAGCCCTCTTGTATAGGTAACTGAGTACATGATACATTTTCACTGCATCTCCAATTATAAAGACATGAGATAAAAGGATACTGCTAATTACCTACCCAGCACCAAATGATATTAAGCTATTAAATTATAATGCTTCTCTAAAAGAAACCAGACACAATTATGGAGCAGATTCACAGCCAAAAGGATAAATGAACAAAATGCAAACATTTACATACCTTCATGTGTATATATGCAGTTATCCTGTTTTTCTAAACTTCACTTTAATGAAAGATCTTCATTGGTACCTGTTTCTGCTAACCTACAGAATCCAGGTGGATTTCCTTGTTCAGCATTTGCATTACAAGGTGCTGTTAGAGCGGCAGTACATTGGCACCCTCAAGTCCCTTCACGGGAAACTACACTCAGCATCACAGCACCAAGCCACCAGAGCTTTAAACTGCATCTGTGAACACTACATGTTGGTGTAATTTTAAGTTACTCTGCAATGTTTGGTATGATTTGGTAGGTTATTACTTGAGGCTGGGAACACTCAAAATATTCCCCACATAATGGTATTTGCTTTTGGTTTTATAACTTTTCCACAAGGTTACCTAGGAACACTCTACTTTTGGAGAGTGGGGAAAACCTGCATATATATAAAATCATTTTGGAGACAAATAAACAGTATTGATTACTTTTGACCACCATACACATATATATTCCACCCAGCCTCTTAAAGGTGTTTGGATGAAGTAAAAATATTGTTGTGGAAAAGTAGATAAAAAATCAATGAGGATGGGATGCTCCTGCATTGCTGGTGGGATTGCATAATGGTCTAACCACTCTGGAACGCAATATGGCACTTCTTCAGAAAGTTGGAAATAGAAATACCATATGATCCAACAATTCCTCTACTAAGATAAGCCACAAGAAATACGAGCCATAACATGAGTAGATATATGCACACCAATGTTCACAGCAGCACTATTTACAATAGTAAAAAGACAGAGACAGCCTAAGTGACCATCAATGGAAGAATGGGTAAACAAACTGTGGTACATACACACAATGGAATATTATGCCACCTTGAAGAACAACAAGGAAGCTGTAAGCTATCATATAACATGGATGAACCTTGAGGACATTACGTTGAGTGAATTTAGTCAGTCACAAAAGGACAAATACTGCATAGGGCCATGACTGTAAAAGACTTAAAAAAAGAACTCATACTAAAGGGGGGCAGGGTTTTCTGCTGGTTACCAGGATGTGAGGGGTGAGACGAGGGGAGGGAGGGGAAGGTGGAGCACAGGGAAGGGAATAGACACAGCATAGTATGAGTGCTAGGGAAGGGGGCAATACACAAGAAGGGGGAGAGGAATGGAAGAACAAGGTGGACAGGAAAACCATTAGGCAGGTTTGCATGGGCTTAGTGGAACAGAGGTAAATCATGATGTATGCACAACCTTGGAACAACAGAGCCCTGGGATACAGGGATTGAGATATGATTGGAATGGGCAAAAGGGGGAAAATACTGTTAAGATGCTTGGCTGTCTTTTGACTCTTGGTTTCCCTTGCATACCATTACAAAATAGACACTTGAGGGGGAGAGAAAGGAATAGCCAGAAATATCACAATAGAAAGCCTGTAAGTCCGTCTTCTGCCGAAAACTGATTGGAATACCTAAAATGGGGCTACAACGTGCCCAGTGAAGGAGGCTTCCTGCGGACCCTCTGCATTACATAAGACCATAGGTGGAATCCTGAACCCCATCCAGAATCTTCTGAGGTGGGAAATTTCCACTGGAAAGGACAAGCAGACCAGCCTGGAGCAGCTAGAAGAACAAAAGATACTTCTTGGAAGAAAGACTGACAGGAAAAAAACAAAACAATAACAGCAGTCCAACTGATTACTACAAGAACAAGCAAATTGCTCTCCCAGGAGACATCAAGGCAAGTGGTCAGGTCCCCTCAGGGCAAATCCCCCTCTAAAACTAAGACTCAATGGAAATACATAAGCAGACATATGCTCTGACTGGTGACCATGTTCGTCACCAATAAGGGGAAGTGAGAGAAAAACAGCAATGAAGCTGCAAACTAAGCCCTACAACGTTCAACAGACTCCTGTGAACCCAGGTGGAGACCTGGTTGGCCAGCAGTGTGGCAAGACCTGGGGACTCTTGGGCCCAGAGTCAGTGACATAGCCACAGGGGACTAGAGTGGAGAGTGAAGCATCCAGCTGATGAGAAGAGAGGGCATATGCATAAGAACACCCACACTTGCAGATAATACCCACTTGAACTGGCTTCAATGACTAGATGATCAGAGCTCAACTAGAAGAAGAAAGAAGAGGAAGAAAAGAGTAATCTGATACAATTTGATGAACATGACCTACAACTATGGATGCAGTAGCTCAAAAGAGGGAACAAATCTTTACAGCGAGGATCATTTCCACCCCACCCACCCCCCATACACAGAGTAGACAGGGATGGGCAACTTGGACTTCAGCAACCCAAAATGGGGGTGGGAGGGGACCACAAAGGCAAGAAATGACTGGCTTACAAGCTTTCAAGAGGGAGTCTAGATCCAGAAGGCGCGGAGGAAGGTAGGATCGACACTGAGTAGTATCCAATCTGTCTGGGTGGGGCTGATGAAAGGAGATGGGGATAGGTCTCTTGTGGTACAATACTGAATGATTGTTATCAGGACTGACTGAGAAGGTTGGAAATGTAAAGGTAGAAGTTTTCTAGCAAAAGGAGGGGAGTGATTGACTTTGCAGTCCAGAAGCAGAGGTCCCTGGAACCAGCAAAAGAGAAAAGTGGAGTGTGGGACCCTACCCAGAGAAACAGTGATGCCAGAGATGGATGCAGAGACCATGATGTGGAGAGATGGAGCGGCTGGGGACTTTAGACCCAGAAAGGACAAGGGGCAGTGTGCTGATGACCGGGGAGCAGACTTGCAGGGTATACCCTTTGGTTGGTTGATGATGCATGGATGGGATTGTAACCATGGCAATGAAATTATATGCGATAGGATGCATGTAAAACTAATGCTCTCCCATGTGAACTTATAATTCACAATAAAATATTAAAAAAAAAAAAGTCAATGAGAAAAGGATCCCCTCTACCCATATATTATGCAATCAGAGTTCAAATTTTAGCGAACCTGCTGAACCTTCAACAGCCCTCTCTCCCCAAACCCATTACAAAAGCCTCCCCACCACTCACTGTCAGCAAGACCATGGAGGGGCCCCCATCTGGCCATTACCTGTAAAGCTACTGTTCATTTCAGGTACGTCATCCTCTTCCTCGGTCTCCGCATGGACTATGCCAGCATTTTGCATGTCATTGTAAGACTTGGTTCGCTTCGGGGTCGACTGCTTGGAGCCAGACTGAAGGTTTTGCAAGGCATCCGTCGGGATCACTTTCCCACTGACTGGTTGGCTAGGAGGTTTGGGTGTCCCATAATAGTTTCCTAGGTAATAGAGAGACACATTTGCATGTTTCAAAGAGAATACTTTGTTTTTTGATGTGATTTTTCTTTCTCTCCCAAGACTTCACATCCAAATTATCTCAGCACATTAAAACAAAAATTACATTGGAAAATCAGAACAAACTGTACTTCATTTCTGGAATGGATTAGCAAATATGTCTTTCCTATTCCAGTGAATTAACGGAGGTGGTAGAGAGGCAAGCTGCATTGCACTGGGGCAAGGAACCTAAAACAAGAGGCAGTGCTGAATGGTAAACCTTGATCCTCATTACATTTGAATTTCAAGTCATCACCTCTTTACACATATACACTAGCATAATGCTGAATAAGATTTAAGAGCGAGCTCCACAGAAAATAAAAAATTCATTTCTGTCAACACTTCTTACAAGCCTGAAAAGTTGAGGTCCCCTTTCATTAATAAGGGAGACAGGGCATTTTTTAAAAAGGAGGGCAGCGAACACCATGTGGCTCCAATTTAACTGAAAGGCAGACTTGATGCCCAAGGTCAGTGGACAAGCCCCTGTGTCAAGTTGTAACAGAAAATTCTGTGTCCTTGATGGCACCCCTTATGGGTCAATATTTTAAACTGGCCCATCTTAGCTTTGAGTCACTTTTCCCAAAGTTTGGATTGGATCTCACTACAGTATAAAAGGAAAAGTATGAATATTTACATTGAAAGTTTCCATTTAAGTAGATACGTATATTTTTAATGTGCACAAGAAAAATCTATTTAATGAATTATGATAGCAATTTAAAGTGTCCCTTGAAAATTTAAGCTAAAAAAGCAATACTTTTAAAACTCAAATTTTTTTTAAGTTTAAATATTAAAAAGTAAGCTTTGTATCGGTAAGAAACTGATCGATGGAATAAATAATAGGATAGGTAATAATCAGAGTTTTCTTTCAAAAACTTAAACAAAAGATGAGCAATTTAAAAGAAAGCATTAAGTAAATATTATGTGCAACTATAAAAAAAATTATGAAAATCGTTTACAAATGGCCACAGGTTGAAAATACAGCTCATAACCAACAATATTCAATGACTACTGTCTAACCTCTGTACATATTAACAAAACAAAGAAATATATATACATATATATGTATTACTCATGTTATTAAGGAGCTCGGGTAGTGTAATGGTTACAAATCAGGCTGCGAACCTTAAAGTCAGCAGTTCGAAACTACCAGCTGCTCCGTGGGAGAAAGATGAGGCTTTCTACTCCCATAAGGATTTACACCCTCGGAAACCCTGTACAGGGTCGCTATGGGTCGGCACCGACTCGAAGGCACTTAACAACACAACTCATGTTATTAAATAAAAAAGACAATGTCAAATTATAAATTCACAGTACTATCATGAAGTTTCAATAATGCAAACTTTTTGAAGGCACAAAGATAATTTGCTGCCATTAATTTTTATACTTATAATAATTACAATTTCTTTTTTTAAGAAGAAGGTTTAAGACTATTTCTTGAAGACACGATCTTTTGTGATTTGCCAAATTTATGAATACCCACACAGACTCAATTCATTTCACAGCTATGGAATAGTCTATGTCACCAGGGAGACTCTAAGACACAGATTAAAAGACAGAAGAATAAAGACCACTCGTCTGTCAGTCTGTCATACTGTAGTGTCTTGCATGTTACTGTGATGTTGAAAGTTATGCCACCAGTATTTCAAATACCAGAAGTATCTCCTATTGTTGGAAGGTTTCAGTGGCGGTTCCAGACTGCTGCTGCTGGTGGTGGTGGTAGTGTGCCGTGGAGTCGGTTCTGACTCATAGTGACCCTGTATAGGGTTTCCGAGGCTGTATATCTTTATAGGAGCCGAAAACCTCAACAAGAAAAGGCAGACCACTTCCAAATATTTAGCCACTGAATATCTAATGAATAGGAGTGGAACACTGTCAGATATACTCCTGGAAATAGAGTCCCTCAGGTTGGAAGGTACTCTAAGCATGACTGGGGAAGAGCTGTTTCCTCAAAGCAGAGTTGACCATAATGATGCGAATGGAGTAAAGCTTTCAGGACCTTCATTTGATGATGGGGGATAATTCAAGATGAGGGAAGAGAGCTGCAAACATCCACTAATAGAAACATGGAATGCATGAAGAATGAACATAGGAAAATTGGAAGTTGTCAAAAATGAAATAGAATTAAAAAAGAATGGTATCTTATCCATTAGTGCGCTGACATGGACTGGTATTGTCCATTTTGAATATGACATGGTTTACTATGCTTATAATGACAAACTGAAAAGGAATGGTGTCACTTTGATCATTAAAAAGAGAACTTCAAGGTCTATCATGAAGTAGAAAGCTGTTTGTAATAGGATAATACATATACTTACAACGAAGACCAGTTAATACCACTATTATTCAAATGTATGTGCCAACCACTAGAGCCAGTAATGATGAAACTGAAGAATTCTACCAACTTCTTCAGTCTGAAACTGATCAAACATGCTATCAAGATGCATTGATAATTACTGGTGATTGAAATGCGAAGGTTGGAAACAAAGTGGAAGGATCAGCAGTTGAAAAATATTACCTTGGTGATAGGAAAGATGCTGTAGACCATATGATAGAATTTTGCAAGACCAATGACTTGTTTATTAAAAATATCTTCTGAAACTACATAAAGATGAAAATACACATGGACCTCACCAGTGGGAATAGACAGGAATCAGAATGACTACATCTGTGGAAAGAGATGGTAGAAAAGCTCAATAGTATCAGCCAAATCAAGGTCATGGGCACACTGGGAAACAATTGCACATATGCAAGTTCAGGATGAAACTGGAAAAAATGAAAACACATTCACGAGAGACAAAATATGACCCTGAACATATCCCACCTGAATTGAGAAATCATCTCAAGAACAGATTTGAAGCATTAGACACTAATGACCAAAGACCAGAAGGGTTGTGGGATGCACATCATACTAAAAGAATGCAAAAGTTCATTCAATGACTGGGTAGAAGAAGAGACCAAAACAAATGTCAGAAGAGACTCTGAAACTTGCTCTCCAGTGTAGAGATGTTACAGCAAATGGAAGAAATGAAGAAGTAAAAGAGTTGAACAGAAAATTTCAAAGGGCAGCACAAAGAGACAAAGTCAAGTATTATAATGAAATGTGCAAGGAGCTGGAGTTAGAAAACCAAAAGAAAAGCACATGGTCTATTTCTCAATTTGAAGTTTGAAAGATTCTATAGGCAGAAGATTGAAAGATACAGAAAGCATCAAAAGAAGATAGAAAGAGCAGAAAGCATCAAAAGAAGATGGAAAGAATATAGAACCACTGTATCAAAAAGAAATGGCTGATTATCAACCATTTCAAGATGTAGTATATGATCAAGAACCAATGGTACTGAAGGAAGAAGTCAAAGGCTGCACTGAAGGCATTGGCAAAAAACTAGGCTCTAGGATTTGAGAAAATACAAACTGAAGTCTTTCAACAAACTAAAGTACTGGAGGCACTCACTCATCTATACCAAGAAATTTGGAAGACAGCTACCTGGTCAATGGATTGGAAGACATTCATAGTTGAATCCATTACAAAGAGAGGTGAGCCAACGGAATGCAGATATCGTCAAACAGTATCATTCATATCATATACAAACAAAGTTTTCCAAAAGATAATTGAAAAATGGCTGCAAAAATACATTGAAAGGTAACTGTCAGAGATTCAAGGCAAATCCAGAAAAGGACATAGAGCAAGGAAAATCATTTTTGACACTAGAGGAATCTTGGCTGAAGCAGAAAGTAACAGAAAGGTGTTTACTGACTAGGCAAAGGTTAATGACTCCCTGGATAACATGAAAAACTGGATAACGCTGTGAAGAATGGGCATCCCAGAACATTTAATTGTGTTCATGAAGAACCCATACATAGACCAAGAGGCCATCATTAGAATAGAATAAAAGACACTGAATGGTTTAAAATCAGGAAAAGTGTGCACCAGTGTTGTACTATCTCATCACGCTTATTCAACCTGTATGCTGAGCAAATAATTCAAGAAACTGGATATGAAGAACATGGCATCAGGATTGGAGGAAGGCTCATTAGCACCTATGATTGGTAGATGATAAAACCTTGCCTGCTGAAAATACTTACTGATGATCATCAAAGACTAGTCTTCCATATGAATTGCACCTCAATGCAAAGAAATCAGAAATCCTCACAAATGGACCAATAAATAACATGATAAATGGAGAAAAGACTGAAGTTGTCAAAAGACTTAATTTTACTTGGATCCACAATCAACACTTACGGAAGTAGCAAGCAAGAAATCAAACATATTGCATAAGCCAAATAAGCTGCAAAGGAATCCTTTGTTCAAGAGCCAACACTCTTGAGGACTAAGGTGCATTTGACCCAAGTCATTATATTGTTAGTAGTCTCATTTGCATGTGAACATTAGACAATGAGTCATTGTATTTTCAGTAGACTTGTTTGCATATGACAGTTAGTCAATGAATACAGAAGGTACTTGAAGAACTGATGCATCTGAGTAATGGTATTGCAGAAGAAGAGTAAAAGTACTCAACAAAATGTGAAGGTTGTAAGGACGTCATAGGATTGGGCACTGTTTCGTTCTGTTGTACATAGGGTCGCTACAAGTTGAC